CATTGTTTTCTCTTGGGAGTTTTGGCTGATGATTGTTTATTTCAAAACTAGACAACAAATCCCACAATCCATATTTCTACTGTGGTAAGAAATATCCTTCTGGGTTCAGTTCAAAGTGGGGAAAAAGACACTGGACACATGGAGGCTTTTTGGAAGGTTTAATATCAGGACTACATGGCCTGGAGCTCCAGAGTGAAAAGGAAGAGATCAAAAAAAAAAAGGGCTGAGGTGCTGAGAGTACCTGGGTCTTATACCCGCTTTTGGGATTTGAATTGAAGTTTGTATTCTGATTGGTTGTCAGACTCCGATGAGGGGCAACTCTATAGGCTGTCCTGAGTTCCAGGCTTGGTTGATCCTTGCTGGATAATTTATGCCCTGTAAAGGGCTTTTGGCAATTGCTATTGCTTTACCTGGAGTTCCTTGTTATGTAAAGTATTCTGGCCCAGGCCTTAATGGACCACCCATTAACAAAGGTGGAGGTGAGTTTCTGCTTCTGAGGTGAGTTTCTGCTTCTGAGTTTCTACTCTTTTTAGAGGAAACATTCTGCCTTTTTAATATTTCCTAGGCTATTTCAATTTTGTAGGAGAAGGGTGGGTGCTAACTTCCTACACTACCTTTAAATAAATTTCAACTTTTTAAAAACTACCTAGTTTCATCTCCTAACTATCTATTTTCTCTCTCTCCCTCTCTACCCACCAAACTGCTCACTGAGTTCCACGCTGTTTATTCCAAGATAAGTTTTGAGCTTACACTTGCCATTGTGGAGATTTATTGGCTGCTCCAAATACAAAAATGTAACTTTATCTGAGGAACTCAATGTGTACAACTGCTCCGAGGGGAAGGTTCTTGCTTGGCATCAGATCCACTTCCTCTCACTGTGTCTCTCGCAAAGTAATAGACTGCTGTGTCCACTGATTTCAGATTGTTCATTATGCAAATACAGCTGGCTGCAGGAATCATCCCTAGAGATGGTGAAGCATCCCTTGACTTTATCTGAGTAGTAAATGTAAGAGGAGCTTGTAGTTATGGTGGCCACCCATTCCAGGCCTTTCCCTGGAGCCTGTCTTGCCCAGCTCATGTAATAGCTGCTGAAGGTGAACCCAGAGGCTTGGTAAGAGAGACGGATGGACTCTCCAGGCCTTCTCACATCCCCTCCAGACTCTACCAACTTGACTTGAGACTTGACACCTAAAAAGAAAGGTATATCAATAAGCTCTCCTGCATACAAGAATTAAAATGGAAAGAACCTGAATCGAGAGGAAACAATTTCCTCCGAGGAATGCTAGTAGGGGCACCAGGTTTAGCCACAGAATCATTTTTGCACCCTGTAATGAATTAAGAGCAGTTGATAGGATAGAACTTAGGAAAATGTTGGTGGGTGTAGCCTAAAAGGAAAACCACCTGACTCCTTTAAAGGGGAAATTGTAACTTGATTTACATATTGGTTGAGATAAAAGGGTTCCTCAGTGCTCCCACCTTATATTTCCCTTGCACAATTCCCTACTCCCAGTTCTTGATTTTCACATAACTTTTCAGTATTAGGAAAAGTGAGGGGTTATATTATGGGGTTTAAAACCATTGCAAAATAAAGTAAATTGCACTACCCTATAAAATCACCAATCCTTCACTATGTTCCATTTCTGAGCATATAATAGTTTACCTGTAGATATGATATATAAACATAACCTTTTTCTAGTTGCCTTTTCATCAGTCCCAAAATAAAACTCTCTGGCTTCCATTCAATTTTAACATTTAAGACAAGTTAACTCCTTCTTGCTTAAAAGTCTGTGCTGACCAATTGGCCCCCATCTTGACACAAATCTTCAATAGATCACTAGAGATGTGCTATGTTCCTTCCTGCTTCAAATGCTCTACTATCATCCCAGTGCCAAATAATCCCTCCATCAAGGAACTGAATGACTACAGACCAGTTGCTCTAACATCTGCAGTTATGAAAATCTTTGAAAGGCTTGTGCTGTCCCACCTGAAAACCGTCATGGATCCACTGTTATATCCCATGCAGTTTGCATACCAAGCAAATAGATCAACAGATGATGCTGTTAACATGGCTCTGCATTACATCCTACAACACCTTGAATCTCCAAATACTTACGCAAGGGTCCTCTTTGTATTCAATACCATGATTTCAGACACTCTTCTAAGTAAATGAAACCAAGTAGCGGTACCTGAACACACTTGTAAGTGGATCATAAGCTTCCTAACAGACAGGAAGCAGCAGGTGAAGCTAGGCAGAATCACCTCCAATACCTGTACAATCAGCACAGGGGCTCTCCAAGGCTGTGTGCTTTCTCCACTCTCTTCTCCCTATATACCAATGACTGCATCTCAAATGATCCATCTGTTAAAATACTGAAGTTTGCTGATAACACAACAGTGATTGGTTTCATTCGAGACAATGACGAATCTGCATACAGACAGGAGGTTATACAACTTGCCTCGTGGTGTAACCTGAACAATCTGGAACTGAACACATTTAAAACTGTAGAAATGGTGGTAGACTTTAGAAGAAACCCTCCCATACTACCACCTCTTACAATACTAGACAAAACTGTATCAACAGTAGAGACGTTCAAATTTCTAGGTTCTACTATATCACATGACCTAAAATGGACACCTAACGTTAAAAACATCATCAAAAAAGCACAACAAAGAATGTTCTTTCTGCACCAATTCAGGAAGCTCAAACTGCCCAAGGAGCTGCTGATCCAGTTCTACAGAGGAATGATTGAGTCTGTTATCTGCACCTCTATAACTGTCTGGTTTGGTTCAGAGAATAATTCGAACTGCAGAAAAAACAGTTACTACCAACCTGCCTTCAATCAAGGACCTATGTTGTGACTCGGAGGTTTGAGCCTGCTCTGTTAGAAGACACAGGCTCGAGTAATGAGGAAGAGGAGGATTTGGCCTTGAGGTTTGAGCCTCTTTTCTGGGAGACACAGACGTGAGTCAGGAGGAAGAGGAAGATTTGGCTCTGCAGTTTGAGCCTGCTTTGCTGGAAGATTCGGAATCATCTTCCTCCCCAGGACCTTCCTCCCTGGTTGTGCCTCAGGTGTTGGCAGATAATCAGGACAGAGTGCCGGAGTCCTTGGCTGAGGATCAAGCCGAGGAATGCTGGTTTGATGCAAGGCAAAGACGCAGGCAGAAGCGTGAAATACAACGTAAAAGGAAATGTCAAATCAGGGACTGATTTGAGAGACTGACACGCCCCTCAGGAAATAAAAGAGCGCGTGTTAGCTCTGAATCCTCGTTCGGGACAATTTGTTTATTTGGAATAGAAGCTTTGACAAATTCTCCGTGCGGCATTCACCTTTGATTTATGGTCTTGTCTTGTTATCGGACTTGGCACGCAGCTTTTGGAAGACTGCCAAGGACTTCTCCAGCCAAAGGAATTTAACTCTGTCGTTCCTGGTCCTGTCTGTTTATTTATATTCCTTTGGAAATTTGGACTCTCACCTCGTGGACACAGGTGAGACAGAACAGACCTATATACTGCACGTGTAAAAAAAAAGGGCTGTGAAAATATTTACAGAACCCTCACATCCCGGACATAAACTGTTTCAACTCCATCCCTCAAAACGACGCTATAGAACATTGCACACCAGAACAACTACACATAAGGACAGTTTTTTTCCCAAAAGCCATCACTGTGCTAAACAAATAATTTCCTAAACCCTGTTCAACTATTACAAAATCTGTACTACTGTTAATCTTGTCATCACTTCTTATCACCCATCCCCTCCCACTTGTGACTGTATGACTGTAACTTTGTCGCTTGTATACTTACTATTTATATTGACTGTTTCCTTTTAACTTTTCTTTTATGTAAACTATGAGTATTTACACCAAGATAAATTCCTCGTGTGTCCAATCACACTTGGCCAATAAAGTGTTCTATTCTATTCTATTCTATTCTATTCTATTCTATTCTATTCTGTTCTGTTCTGTTCTGTTCTGTTCTGTTCCGTTCCGTTCCGTTCCGTTCCGTTCCATTCCATTCCATTCCATTCCATTCTATTTTATTCTATTCTATTCTATTCAAATCATGGGGATAGGTGCATGTATTTGTATACCACATTTTGGGGTGGCATGTCCATCAAATTTTAAAAATATTCCCTTCCAACATTTCCAATAATGTTGGAAGCGTAAAAGTAAAGAAGGGACTTTTATCATCTATAGTGGACATTTATTAAAGCAAAATAACTTTTGGAGTATGATGTATATTTTAATACTCAAAATTTTGAAAATGGAGATAAAAATGAATCCAGAACTTTGCCTTTTGGGCCTAATGGAAAAAAAAACCTGGAGAATTTTTTTTTAATTTTTTTACTATATATGTTGACAGCAGCAAGACTATTGTATGCACATAAAAAAAGGAAGGACACTTCAATTCCTACCATGACGGAATGGTTGCAGAAATTGATGGAGTTGGCTGAAATGGCAAAACTGACCACTTTGATTAAAGAAAGGAGCATAAGTGCTTTTGTTTCCACATGAAGACAGCTTCCAAACTTCGTGCTTGAAGTGGAAAAGAATGAAACTTTGATTTTGGGTTTTACTGAGTAGATTGATAGATCTTTATAGAAACGGCTTGTTCATAGTCATAGCAAAAGGTTGAGATTTGATGCCTTATTTTACTGCAACAGCGAGAGTCAGAAATCAATTCTTCTTTTTGTTTATTTTTCTTATCCTTCCTCACTTCTCCCCCCATCTTTTCCTCCCCACTGTTTTCCTATTTACTTTTCTATTTTGTATCTTATAATATTTTCTAACTCAATAAAAATGATAAACCAAAAAAATAATATTCCCATCATCCTGTTTCATTATCATAATATAATGAAGTTCCTTGATACATTCTAGATCAGGGTTCTTCAAACTTGACACCTTTACCAATTGTGTACTTCAACTCGCAGAATTTCTCCTCCAGTCCTGTTAGCTCAGGAATTCTGCGAGTTGAAGTCCACAAGTATTAAACTTGCCAAGTTTGAAGACCCTTGTTCTACACCTTTGCTGCTGAGAAGCACTGAAGATCATCTCTGCTGATATCATCTGAGTATTAAGCTACCATTACAGAGATCTTTGCCTGTATATGTCATTA